TTCCCTGAGGTGCTCCTTAGAGTTCTATTCTGTTACCTTCTGTGATGTTCACCACATGAGTCAGTCAGTCCATTAGGTGTGGAGGCATAGTGTGAAATACTCCAACTGGTGCTATTGTTATGCATAGCACATACAGTAAATATCTCTTTTTCTTCATTCCCAGATATTGACATTTGTCACCTGCATGAATGATTTCTATTAATTATCCCCCGCTTCCCCTTTTCCACGGAGGAAGGAACACACAAAGATACACACAACACTTTTAACATTGCTGACAGTCTTTTTGAATCTTCCATGTAACTATAAGGGCTGTCACATTTCAATATAATAATCGTTTTAAACACTCATGCCTCCCAAATATCTCTCCTGTGACATCGGCATCAAATTCTGTTATTGAAGGAATATTAGATGCTACTAGCAGTGACTTTGGATTTCTAGCAGCAACTGGCTTTCCAGTTAGCATGCATGGCCTGTTACAGAAAATTTTCATCTGTGTTTCACATGATCAGAGCTTTCCAATCCAGGTAATTCATGCTATTGGTCTACACAGATCTGCATATTTACTTAGGGCCAGATACAAGTTAGAAAACTAGACCAGACTTGGATGGAATTTAGGCATGAAGAGTGTGTCCAGATGGGTGCAGTCGTACGGTATGTGGGACTGCAAGCACAGTGCTGGCCCTAGCCTCCCCTATGCCACCAGGGCAACTTGCTGCACACCAAAGTGTGCGTGGCATGGGCTTTCCCTGGGGACAAGAAGTGGTGGTACAAGGTGTGCAGCAGCTACTTGTTCCCAGGGACCCAAATGTCCATGCACATCTGGACACGCCCCTATGCTGCAAAATGAAAATGAGACTAATTCTGGTCCTGCAGCCACAATAATAGTAGAGCCCTTACTTGCTTTCTACATTTTTTTACTGCAATGATCTCTAACTATATTCAAATCAATTTCAGTTCATACTGAAGCATCCCAGTATGAACAGCTATTTATACAGTTTTTTGTTTAAGCTTTGTGGTGATCTACATATGAGGGAAGCACAAATACCACTGAAAACTTTAGCGATCCTTATATAGAAAGTATGCTTTTGACATACTTTTAGTGTACAAACGAAACTGTGCAAGTAACTTTCAATGAAATCATGGCTGTAAAAGGACGAGCTGAAGCTCCCTTTTATATAATAGCATACCAGAGCACTTGCCACAGTGGGAGAGCTGGTTCTAGGCCTACCTGAGCCTAGCGTAGGTGCAGGCTTCTCATCTTCCATCTCCCCAGGGGTTCCAAATCTCTAAGATATATTTGTAGTTGCTCTGATGCCAGAATTAAAGGGTGTTTGTAGATGACACTTTAAAGAGGGTTAAATGCCTTTTGCATTGCACTAATGGCATTGCTGCTTGTACATTCAGCGGTGTATTGAATGTTAATTCCAGCTGCTGTAGCACATTTGGTGGTGTAATGTGTCTTAAATGACTTTGAGATGCAGTAAATGACTTTGGGGTGCTGCAAACTAAAAATGCCTCTAAGGAGTTTTAGTTTCCTACCCTACAGATATGGAGGGGAGCACATACAACTCCGTACAACTCAGGGGCTGTGCAGGCAGACCATGCAGGCAGCCCAGCAGCTGCCTGGGAAGGCAGGATCCACAGAAGAGGCAAAAAAAAAGTGGTGAGCCTGATCTTTATTTGTTTATTTTTCCCCAGAGACTGCCTGCCTGCCTGAGCTGCACAGGGGCCTGGTACTTCCCTCTGTGGCTGCATGCCCCCCAGGACTGCCCAAGCAGGGTGCCAGTGGACGTGTATCACCTGGCAGGAGTCACCACTGCCATGAAGGAAAGCACCAACTCGCCCTCACCCCCACCCTTCTCCGCTGCAGCTCTGGGACCACTCTGCCTGCAAGCAACTCAGTCCCATCTCCCCATCACTGGAGAGGCAGATAAAGATTGGGCAGACACGGGTGTGCATGACCTGGAGGTTTACTTTGCCCTGAACTGAAGCGGTGTTTTTAAAAAAACACCACTTCAATTTAGAGAGAATTAAACCCCTGTGTCATGTACAAATGCCCAAAGGTGCTGGATCTCACCTGTATTTTCTAGCTGCTACATTGCTGAAGAGATTGCCAAACTATGTTTAATATGATCTTAATTTTCTTTTCCCATGTAAGCACTTGCTACAGTTGTAGTAAAATGGTTAAATGATTATGAATTAAAAGGGAAGCGTATAATGTACAATGTGCATAAGTTTGTGGAGGGAATCTATGTGATAATTATTCTATTAACATGTAGTCAAACAGAAAAAGAAAGAGATTTTCTTGGCTAAGTAATTGTGACCATTTCTCCCTAATATGGACATTGCCAGACTTATCTATGAATTAATGTTCTGTACATTGGATTAGTATAATGAATGAATTATAAGATACTCTTTAAGACTAATCAGAAGCTACCAGATGTGCAAAATGTGGTTACCAGTTTACTAGCTTTGGATCAGGCTCCAAATAAATTAACAAGGAATAACATTTCACATTCAGCGACAATTGTAGTCTATGGGTTCACTTATGCCTGCCTCTATCTCAGTAGAACTAGAATAACACATTTGACATCTTGAAATCTCTGAAGAAAATGACCTAATTTAATTAACATTTTCCTGATTGACACTGGTCAATGAGTCATGTGAGTTGGTCTACAGGTGGGTGCATTTTTAAAGCCTGAAAATACAGGTAAATGAAATTAAATTCTCTTGACTGAATACTTCAAGGCAAAGAATTAAATATAATATTTAATTAGATAGAATCTACTGAAAGGAAAAACTTTAAAATGATCTCAACATCTTACATGTAATAAAAAACCCAGTATCGTAAACATTTTTTTAAAAAACCTTGACCTTCAAATGCTGTCATTTAAAACTAGAGGAGAGAAGGAAAACAAGACAGATGAAAAATTTACACAAAAACACACCATGGATTTTGGTGCTATACAGACTTTTAGAAGCTTTATTTAGCTGATAACAAATAAAGAGTTATGTATGTTGAAATAGATTGTTTGTTTTTGAACTTTGAATCCAAAGCCATGGATAGAACAATAGATAAATCAAGTGCATCAAAATCACAAGTGAGAATTGCTGGGTATTTGAAAAGTCAGCAAAGATAAAATCCTGAAATGTAATAAGTGCATATTAGAAAAACAGATGTAAAATCCATCCTTGCTTTATCTACTTTCTTTTTATACATACAGCATTATAAAGGCTACAGTCCTGAATGGTTTTTCAAACAGATCTACATTTTTTTTGAGCTAAGGGACATTTATAATGTAACATTAAATTTGTCCAGCTTTAAACAAAGGATATACATCACCTTCTTGTGAGAGTGGTAAATTATATGTAATTGTTGCATAGTAGATAGTTTAAATAAAAGTTTGAACATGAATATTTGAAAATGAATGAAAAAGTCAATAACAGCATATTAAATGTTAAAAATGTTAGGATTTATTTTTAAACTTCCATGCATCTAGTTTTGGTAGTAGAAAGAACTATCTACTGCTGAGAATTAGGCATAAAAATATTACCTGAAATTATAAAGAGGACCTTGACAAAATACCAAAGACTTTGTCTTCAGTCATATTCTTATCTTGGAACTTATAATATCATTTTGTCTAATTATTCCTGATGTTTCACTATCATGTTAAGAGGTGTTTTAGAAACAAAAAATTGAAGTAGACAAGCTCTTTTCATGCTCAGTCTCCAGTGGACAGCAATACCTATTAAAAATAGTAAACAAAACTTGGTATGCTTGGCATTTCAACACAAAGGAGACCCAGGATTGAGCTAGCAAAGAAAAGCCCTTGAGACAGTGGCCCTGCCAGTTCAGCATTAAAAACATTGTGAAGAGACTTGTATTGTCACAGTTGTATGCACCACAATCCATGCATGAATAATGAGAAAATTCTGGCTTTGTTCAGCTCAGATTTTTGATTATACCAGTGTGCATAACTAAAAGTATCTCTAAAGGCAGCTTATACGGAAGACAATATTATTACATTATATGTGGACTAGAATTGGTCAGTATTTTTATTTGGAAAATGCTGATTCCCTGAAATTGAAATGTCATGGACAGGCATCAGTTCTACTCACTTTTCAACTCCCCAAAATTGAAACATATTTCAAAATTGTCAAAATTGTGTTTTTTGAATTGTAAATTATTTGTCTTGTTGAAAGCTAAGCTATTTATAGTACCTAAACAAATAAAATTAAATGAGGGTGAAGGAGCTGTAAGCTACTGAGCACCCAGGATTACCTGGTATCCTTTGCTAATGGAGCAGGGTTTGTGCAAACTTCCTCCCTTCCCCCACTCTTTCATTGTCAGGGTGCAGGAACCCACTGGTAGGGACTCAGGGAAAGGTGGAGCTAGGGAAGATTTTCTGGGAGAACTATTGTGTGTGTGTGTGTGTGTGTGTGTGTGTGTGTGTGTAACCCTAGTGGTGGTACTACCCACAGCCATGTTCAAATTTTTGGGATCCTGGGGTACCAACAGGCCTTGGTCAACTCCCACTCTATAGGGTGGGAGCCACCACTCAGTGGCCTGCTCTCCTGTGGTTCTCCCTGCACAAGACCACACACTAAATTACTATTTACAATAATTTATTGTTTACAATAGTAACTGAGAAATTATAGATATAGAAAAGTAGGGTGGTACACCTGTTAGAAGCCTCTGGGTAACAGTCAGGGAAGACAGCAGCAAAGAGGATGTCATGATAGGCATCTGCTACAGGCCTCCAAACCAGGAGGAGGTGGATGAGACCTTCTTCAGAGCAACTAATAGAAGTTTCCAAATCACAGTGCTTGGTTTTCATGGGAGTTTTAAATTACATCTGCTATGGGGGAAAACACAGCAGTGCAAAAGCAGTCTAGAAAATTCCTGGAGTGTTTTGGAGATAACTTCTTGATAAAGATGGTAGAGAGGCCAACTAAGGAGGAAGCTCTGTTTGACTTACGACTCACAAACAGGGATGAACTTCAATATGATAGAGTTCAAAATCCTAAGGAGAGGAAGAAAGGAGAGCAGCAGAATAAAAACACTGGGCTTCAAAAAAGCTGACTTTAACCAACTCAGGGAACTGGCAAGCAGGGTCCACTGGGAGGCAAGTCTAAGAGGAAAAGATAGTTGATGTGTGCTCCTCCTGGATGGAATGAAAAGTCCATCCAGGAAGAGCACACACTAACTGCTGAAACTTCCTTAGCCTGATGAAGGGTTTTTGAATCCAAAAGCTTGCTTAAAAATTGTTTTCCAATTATTTAAGTTAGTCTAATAAAAGATATCAGGTTCCCCCAAAGAGCCTTGTCTGCCTAAGTGTATCACATGCCTCCTTCATTCCAAAAGGGAATTATGGTTTCTTTGGTCTTCCTTTTATTTTTGATGTCACGGAGCAGGGTCCTAGAGGTGGCCGTGATCTCCCCTAGTGCCCCCTTACCATGCCAAGTTTACCTTAAAGCATCCTTGAATCTCGCCCGCCATGTCTTGATCGTATATATATTAAAGGCAGGCTGCCTTTCGTCCTGTTGGCCACGGTTTTCCTGCTATCACTTGTCTTGTTCTTATAATGGGGTTTCTGTGCACCCAGGCCTTATGGGCTATGCATGGCTCCAACCATCCCTTTACCATGTCCCAAGCCTCGCTGATGTACCCAATGTTGTTCAGTCTTAGCCGCAGCCCTTGTCTCTCTCTCTCTCTCTCTCTCTCTCTCTCTGTGCCCTTACCCAATCTCAGGCTCTCCGCAACCCTTGTCTCTCTCTCTGCACCCTCTCTGGTGCTCTGGCTTTTCCACAGCCCTTGTCTCTCACCACTCCCCACATGCACTAAGGCTCTCTGCAGCCCTTTGTCTCTCACTGTGCCCCACAGGTGCTCTGGCTTTCTGCAGCCTTGTCTCTCACCGTGCCCCACAGGTGCTGTTCTTGTGCTGCGCCCTTTTGCCTGGGGCCTCTCGTTGGTGACCCCGCTCAGTGGGGCTGGAGTCAGTGCACCCCAAACGTTGCACCTTCTCTGTCACCAGGGTCCCCGTGCTATCATGGGTCCCTTATGAGGCCTCCTCCAACCCATAATAGCCTCACCCAAACCACCGGTTGTAAACAGTAAGCAGAAAATTCAAGCTCCTAGGCTATAACATAAATCTCTGCCAATCAGCTACAACATCATTCTTCCTGCCACACCAGGGTTGCTCCATCTTTCCCCTATTTCAGGCCATACCTGCAATCTGGCCTCTCCTCTTTGTTCTGTCTGGCAGAGCTCCTTCCCCTTTGGCTGCCGGTAGGGAACTGCCCTCCTCGCCTCAGCCCTGGGATTTATATGTGGGCGAGGCCCTGCCCCTCCCAGTTAGCTGACTCCCACCAGTTGCCCTATCAACCTGTACCTGTGCCTCTTCATTGGTACTTCACAAGTAGCAGGCATCTTAGTGCCCTGCGACACACCGCCCCTCTTTATAGGAGCAGAGCACCAAAGTGCTCTGCAACACTTGACATCTACTAGTACATTCCCTACCAGTTCCACCCTGCCAATTCCTCCCTTTTTGTGAGTAGCAGATCAAGAATAGCACAGCCCTTAGCTGCCCACTACAGGCCTTGCACCAGGAAGTTGTCCCCAGCACTCTCCAAAAACTTCCTGGTTTGCCTGCACACTGCTGTATTGCCCTCCTAGCAGATGTCAGGGTGATTGAAGTCCCACATTAGAACCAGATCCTGTGATCAGGAAACTTCTGTTTGCTGTTTGAAGAAAACTTCACCCACAACTCCTCCTGGTATGGTGGTCCTAGTAGCAATCCGTTGTTCAACTGCCTGTCCCAGGCAGCAGTCTTCTTTTGTTGTATTTCCCTCTTAAAGTAACAGACAAAGCCTCATGCCATGAATGACTGGTGCTTCCTGAGACTGGCGGGGGGGCACCATGGCGGCAAGCAGGAACCGCTGAAGCTGCCAGCATCAGTGTCAGCGGTGGTGAGCGGGGACTGCCTGCAGTCACCAGTGTTGGTGTCAGCAGCAGTGAGCGGAGACTGCCTGCAGCTTCTGGCATCAGCATCGGTGTTGGTGCTGGTGAGTGGCAGGCAGGGACCACCTGAAGTCACTGACGGCAGTGTCAGTGGGGGGGAAGTGGCAAGTGGAGACCACTTGCACATGCCTTCGGGTGCATCAGTGGTGCGGGGAGGGGGGAAGGTGCAAGCGGGAACTGCCTCCAGAAGCCGGTGATGGCTTTAGAGGTGGCCAATCTTGGGGGGGGTGACATGTGCCCCCCATGCCCCACCTATGTATCACCTATGCCCCAGGTTGCAGTTGTTGCAAAGTAAAGGTGAGGAGCATGGTAGAGGGGAAGTGTGAGGGTGTGGGGACTGAGGGCTGTGGAGAAAGAGTGGTAGGACATGCAGAGGCAGAGGTGGAGGGGGGATGGCAGCTGTGGCTCTGGCTCCAGCTCCAGCTCCAGCTCCAGCCTGAACCCGTGGTTGGGGACAGAGAAACAGCAGCTGCCCACCCCCAACTGCCTTGTGCTCAATTTTAAAGTGAGGGGTTTTTCCCCTTGTTAAATGGAGGGGGGGACCCTCATCTACTAATTGAGTAAATATGGCATTTCATTGATCACAATGTATTCTTTAGTTTTGCCTTTAATATTTTAAAGAAAAATAGATTTATCTTGGTGGAACTCTCAACTTTTATTAACCCAACAAGTTAAAAAAAGAAGTATGTTAAAAGTGAATGCATGCACATATGAATGATTCCTAGTACAGTTGGGTAATTTTACATTTTTAAGTAAGTGCCAAACAAGTGGTTGGTTTTGTATGAACAAGCAAAATTATACTCCAGGTACTTAAGTTGTCACTCAAGTATAATTCTCCTTGATCTCAATAGGCCTGAGCCCAAACGAAACAATTACTACCTTAGCTTGTAGCTTACATGAAAAAGTACTCTAGCAACCTGAAATCTCTCTAATAAAGGTGTTACTTAATAGGCTGTATTTCCCAAATAAAACACATAATCCTTAAAGCAGTCTGAAATACACAGAAAGTAGTGGTAAGAGAATTTTAGGGTATGTCTACACTGTTTCTCTGTGTGCTTTGGCAGGGAAGCTTCCAAGTATGCCATGTCCACCTGTTTTCACCAACAGGGCATGTTTACATGAGACACATTATTGCACCTTAGGCTAGTTTACTGCACAGTACAGGTGCTCATCTACATGTACATGCCCTTACTGTGCAGCAAAAATGGCTAATTGTGACTAAATGTGGTACCTGCATTTGCAGGTATCAAATTTAGTCATGATTAGCTAAAGTGCAGTAATACATGTGTAGATGTGATTTGGCATTAAGTTTAATGCCATGTGGGCATGAAGCCAGAGGTGCCTGGGAAGGTACCAGAACTGGGTGCTGCCACTGCTGAGCCTGGACTCTGCCAGCTGGAGGAGGAGCCATCCATACCACAGGAGCATCAGCCACTATTACTTCTAGGTGAGCCCCCCACCCACCGTAGTATCTGTGGCCCCCTGACTGGGCTGGGGGAGAACAGCCAAGACTGGAGCCACCTGCCCCCAGGCTCTGCCCCCTAGGTGCCCACACCCCACAGCCCCCCCCCACTCTGGGACACTAAAGAAACATTTTGTAGATAGTTTTCAAACAGGGCAGAGGGGGTTTTATTGTTGGTAGGTGGGCAGGGTAGCAGAGGGGTTCTGTGTGATGGGGAATGTGTGAGAGTAATAAAGATGTCTTCTTTGGATCCATGGCTGGCATGTCAGTGGAGCTGGGGGTGGGCAAGGGGTATGGGGTCTGTGGGCTATGGGGCAGATGGGCTAGAGTGGGGAGTTCTCCAGAAAGTGGTCTGCCATACTCTCCCACAACTGGTGCCCTAGCTCCCACTGGCAGGTGTGCAGCCTCGGTGTGGGGGGACCCACCATTGCTGCTGCCATCGCAGGTGGTGCTCCTGCTGCCAGGCCACCTCCTCTTCTCAGGCCTCATGGAACAACTCTCCCTGGGCCTCACAGATATTGCTCAGCACATAAGCTGCAACAATGAGCCAGGGAAGGTCTCAGTGACTTCAAAGTGGGTAGTGAGGGAATACCAGCAGCCCCTGAGGTGGCCAAAGGCATATTTGACCAGGGTGTGGGTCTAGCCCAGGGAAAGATTATAGTGCGGCTGGTAGGGGTCCATGTGGCTGGTGTAGAGCCTCATCAGCCATGGGAGAAGGGAGTACACAGGGTCCCACAACGATGGCACCTCACTGCAGGTCCACCACCCCAGTGCAAAGCACTCACTCTCCACCAACATGGCTAGGCCAGAGTTTCAGAAGATGCAGGCATTATGTGCACTGCCCACCCAGCCAGTGCTCATGTGGGTGAACAACCCCCAATGGTCTACACTGGCCTGCAGGACCATGGAGTGGAACCCACTGCAGCTATAATAGGGGCAGTCTCCATGGGGTCAGAAGGTGATTGGCATGAGTCCCACCCAGGTCCCTGATACAGTGAGGGAACCCCAGTGCATGGAATTGTACCACCACTGCCTGGGGGTTGTGAACACAGTACGCTTTCTGCCAGCATTTCTTGGAGGGCACTGAACACCTCCAGGATGGCCTCCCCAGTGTGCCCTTGCCCATGCCAAACAGGTAGCCCACATCCCAGAGACTGGTGGACATGACAGCTTGCCAGGTGGGTGTTGGCAAGGAGCGGCATCTGCATATTGGAGTCTTGGATCTCCAAGTGGGGCCAAAGCTGGTGGAGCAGGTCCCCAAAGGAGGGCTAGGTCAGCTAAAAAGCCTCTACACACTGCTCATTGTCCCCTGCTGCACCAGGTGGTGCCACCAGTGCTGGCTGGCATGGTGGGCCCACAGGCGGTGGGGCTGGAGGCCCAGGAGGGTGATGGCAGTCCCACCCATGGCATCCTTCAGCCCCTCATTGGCATTCCTGGTGGCAGCAGCTGAGCAGCAGTGATGGTGTCCTTGGGAGAGTGTGCTGCAAGCAGGCAGACAGGTAAGCATTTGCTCTGTGTGGGGGAGCTGGGCAGAGTGAGCTGGCTGTGGGCCAGCTGTCAGTCAGTGCAATGGGCCAGCAGGGTGACTAAGGCAGCCAGCAGGATTCTGAGAC